CATGGCGCCGCCCTTCTGGATCATCCGCAACTCATGGGGGCCTGACTGGGGCGATGGGGGCCACATGCGCATGGACATCCAGGGGGGGGATGGCGTGTGCGGCATCAACTCGCTGCCAGGCCTCTACCCCGTGGTCAGAGGTGAGTGCGTGCACGGTCGGAGGTGAGTGCTGTATCAACCAATGATGAGTACATGGTCAGAGGTGAGTACATGGTCAGAGGTGAGTACATGGTCAGAGGTGAGTACATGGTCAGAGGTGAGTACATGGTCAGAGGTGAGTACATGGTCAGAGGTGAGTACATGGTCAGAGGTGAGTACATGGTCAGAGGTGAGTACATGGTCAGAGGTGAGTACATGGTCAGAGGTGAGTACATGGTCAGAGGTGAGTACATGGTCAGAGGTGAGTACATGGTCAGAGGTGAGTACATGGTCAGAGGTGAGTACATGGTCAGAGGTGAGTACATGGTCAGAGGTGAGTACATGGTCAGAGGTGAGTACATGGTCAGAGGTGAGTACATGGTCAGAGGTGAGTACATGGTCAGAGGTGAGTACATGGTCAGAGGTGAGTACATGGTCAGAGGTGAGTACATGGTCAGAGGTGAGTACATGGTCAGAGGTGAGTACATGGTCAGAGGTGAGTACATGGTCAGAGGTGAGTACATGGTCAGAGGTGAGTACATGGTCAGAGGTGAGTACATGGTCAGAGGTGAGTACATGGTCAGAGGTGAGTACATGGTCAGAGGTGAGTACATGGTCAGAGGTGAGTACATGGTCAGAGGTGAGTACATGGTCAGAGGTGAGTACATGGTCAGAGGTGAGTACATGGTCAGAGGTGAGTACATGGTCAGAGGTGAGTACATGGTCAGAGGTGAGTACATGGTCAGAGGTGAGTACATGGTCAGAGGTGAGTACATGGTCAGAGGTGAGTACATGGTCAGAGGTGAGTACATGGTCAGAGGTGAGTACATGGTCAGAGGTGAGTACATGGTCAGAGGTGAGTACATGGTCAGAGGTGAGTACATGGTCAGAGGTGAGTACATGGTCAGAGGTGAGTACATGGTCAGAGGTGAGTACATGGTCAGAGGTGAGTACATGGTCAGAGGTGAGTACATGGTCAGAGGTGAGTACATGGTCAGAGGTGAGTACATGGTCAGAGGTGAGTACATGGTCAGAGGTGAGTACATGGTCAGAGGTGAGTACATGGTCAGAGGTGAGTACATGGTCAGAGGTGAGTACATGGTCAGAGGTGAGTACATGGTCAGAGGTGAGTACATGGTCAGAGGTGAGTACATGGTCAGAGGTGAGTACATGGTCAGAGGTGAGTACATGGTCAGAGGTGAGTACATGGTCAGAGGTGAGTACATGGTCAGAGGTGAGTACATGGTCAGAGGTGAGTACATGGTCAGAGGTGAGTACATGGTCAGAGGTGAGTACATGGTCAGAGGTGAGTACATGGTCAGAGGTGAGTACATGGTCAGAGGTGAGTACATGGTCAGAGGTGAGTACATGGTCAGAGGTGAGTACATGGTCAGAGGTGAGTACATGGTCAGAGGTGAGTACATGGTCAGAGGTGAGTACATGGTCAGAGGTGAGTACATGGTCAGAGGTGAGTACATGGTCAGAGGTGAGTACATGGTCAGAGGTGAGTACATGGTCAGAGGTGAGTACATGGTCAGAGGTGAGTACATGGTCAGAGGTGAGTGAGGCCACAGTCAAGGCTGAGTGAATACGTGGGATCTTTTTAACACCACTTCAACACATCCTACCATTTCAGGTTTCAGAATAACCCTGCTTTGCTTCTCTTTCCTCCCTGCCTGCCCTCTCTCTCCCTGCAGCTCCTAGCGACCCCTGCAACAAAGCCGCCCGCAATGACAGCACTGGTTCTTTCTTCAATCCCTGCGGCAAGTTCCATTGCACTGTGCAGGGCAAGACAAACGAGTGTGACTGCAACGACCCGCGCTTCATCCAAGCAACCAACGCCGATGGCTCTCGCACATGCGCCTACAGTAAGGTTTTGATGCTGCTGCCGCCGCCGTCGCTGCCGCCGCCGCTGCCGCCTGATAATGTTTGCACAACTGCTTGCCTCCTCTCGCCGTCTCAAATCCACCGTGTTCTCTCATCCCTTCCCTTACCGCCCTCTCTGCTCCTCCCCCTTCCCATGCCACGTTAATATCTATCCCGTCCCTTCCCTCCCCACCTCCCTACTGGTCTCCTCCCTCGCCTCCCCTCCCCTCTCCTCTCCGCCCCCTCACCAGAGGATGCATGCAAGGCAGCCCAGCGCAATCCGTGTGTGGTGGGGCAGTGTGTGAATGACGGGGCGGGGTCGTACTCGTGTGTGTGTCCACCGGGCTTCAGGCAGGGCACCACCGTCGATGGCACTTACTCCTGTGCTCCAGGTACCTTCTCCTGTGCTCCAGGTACCTTCTCCTGTGCTCCAGGTACCTTCTCCTGTGCTCCAGGTACCTTCTCCTGTGCTCCAGGTACCTTCTCCTGTGCTCCAGGTACCTTCTCCTGTGCTCCAGGTACCTTCTCCTGTGCTCCAGGTACCTTCTCCTGTGCTCCAAGTTCCATCCCTGTGTTGTTGTGTGCCATGATGGCGATCCTCAACTACAGCATATGAAAATGCCAGTAGCGACTTCATTAGCAGATGATATGCCTCTTAAGGGCACAGTATGCGGATGTATGACCTAACCATCGGGTACTAGGTACAGTGACCAGCGCCGGACCAAGCCTGGGACACTCCTGTAGGTCGAGGGGTAAGTCTCGGTTCACAGGAGAGGAGGGGCTTACCGACAGGAAAATCTAAATGAAGCCTTGGGTTCGATTGTTCGCAGAGTTTCTTCCAAACAGCCGAACTCGTAAGCTGCTTCGGCATTTGAAAATCGAGTATCGGTAGATTCTCAAGCAGATGTGCAGCACTGCAGAACGATGGTTACGTATCTCTGAACCCTGGCTTTCTTCTGGAGGTGCGGAAAACGGCATACACGTAAACATAAGGACCCAGCTTAGGTCGCTGCATCCTTGTATGCGAGCATGCTGTGCTCTGTTTGCCGACCGCTTGCTCACTTCTGCCAAAACTTCTGGTATTCAATGTTGCACGCGTGTGTTGCATGCTGTGCTGCATGCTCTGCTGCATGCAGGTGACACCAACACCACCTACACCGTGCTCTCTCCCAACGTCCGCTGCTCCGATGTCTTCCCGGTCTACGGCCTCACGCTCGCCCAGTTCCAAACCCAGAACGTGCGTCTCCTGCTCTCTTGAGAATTTTAAATACATGTCGATTCCTGCGAAACGTACATCCCATGCCATCTCCTGCCTCCTCATGCCTGCGTGGGTGTGTGCCGTGTCTCTTCATGCCTCTCCCTCGGTGCATGCAGCCATCGGTGTCGTGTGCAGAACCCATCCCACCCTCCACGGTTCTCAAAGTGGCCAGCCCAGCCTCTCTCGTCGCCTGCTCCGTCTTCTACACCACTCAGCAGGTCCCCACCTTGCACCCTTCCTGCCAATACGCCAATCCTCATCATCCTATACCTTCACCTCCACCCATGTGCTTGCTGTGCCATCACTACCCATCCCTTCCTCCTCCTCACCTCAACTGTCATTTCCCAACACCACACTGAACGTTCTCTTTCACCTCACTTCCCCTCACTGAGTGTAGCCCTCACAATCTCTCGCTCACTGCTTCCTATGCACTCACTTCTCTCTGACCATCTCATACTCAGGGCGACACCTGTGCGGATCTAGCGATGTACTTCAGAGTGCATTGGTCCTGCGATTGGGACGCTGCCAGCTGCACGGCCAACTTCCAGGCGCTCAACCCCAGCTTGGACTGCAGCGCCAACAGCGGGGTGCTGCAGCCCGATCAGACAGTGTGTTTGGAGCGCGAGAAGGATAACGTCGGGCTCATCCCGGTGTGCTCGCAGTACTACCTGGTGCAGAGCGCAGAGACGTGCGAGTCCATCCGCAATGTGCCCTACCCCCCTTTGGCCCCCATAGAGTTCTTCCGTCTCAACCCTGGCATCAAGTGCAACCGCCTCATTCCCAAAACTGATGTTGATGGCTTCACTGGCTTTGAGGTGCGTGTGTGTCTCACAGTCTCACCGGCTCTGCTCATGGCTCTCTGCCATTCCTTGTGGCTCAACTTCCTTCCTCTCTTTCAGGTCACTGGCTTGCGGCCTCCCTCATGCTTACTGCCTAGCTGGTTCTCTCGTGACTGCTCTCTTTTACTCTCTTCTCTCATTCTTCTTCACTCCACCCCTCCCTTCCCCTTCCCAACCCCAGGCATGCATTGCGAGCTCCACTTCCCTGTTCTACTTCATTTCACCACCCCACCCACCATCCCTTCCCCCCCCCCCCCCCCCCTCCCAGGCATGCATTGCGAGCTCCACGTCGTACACGCAGGGCACGTGCCCGCGTGCGAATGCGTATGTGGTGGGGACAGGCGACAGGTGCACGGCCATTCAGGTGAAGTACTTCCGGGGCATCAAGGGCTGCTACAAGCACATCAACGGATACGACTGCATCGACAAGCTCATCAAAGCAACCCGCGTGTGCCTGCCTGACAAAGTCAAGCTTCAGCAAGGAGTCTGCGACAACTGACCTCATGTGCTCTGCATCTTCCGTGCTTCTCAAGTCTGGTTGATTTGTAGCTTTTTGGAATGGGTAGATGATCGGCATGCGTATCCTCCTCGTGTTGTGTCCTGTACAAGCTGAAAATGTTTTCTTACCAGTTGATTTTCACTACAAGGAACGTTGGGTTAGTTCTGATGTCCTGTTTTTGGCCATTAAATTGTTTGCCATAGCATATGAACCACTACTCCTGGCTTGGGCACTAATAACTGCTATAGTACATGCTGAATCCTGATTTAGAAGATTGTTGCAAAAATCTAGACTGATACCTAACCAGCTCCCTTCACTTATCACCTCTGGACCTCTGGAACTGGGACTACCACAATCATGTATTGAATATTGGCTCCTTCCCACTTGATTCCTCCACACCTCACTCCCCCTTTCCACTTTCACCACTCATTTCTCCCACCACTAGAGCCAGGGATGACAGCGCACTGCTGCTCCCACTCTGCTCCTCCACCACTTCCATCCCCATTCCCAGCCTCATTCCCTGGTCACCTTCTCGCCGCCTTTTGATCGACCCTCCCTCATTTCCCTCCTCCCTCATACTTTCCTCCTCGTCTCTTCCTCCGATGACTTCGCTGCGCTTCTGCTTTACCCCCTGCTGCGCCTGCTCCTGCGGTGCACCCACTCCATGGCAAACATCGCGGTGATGTGCTTTGGAGTGGGATCCAATGTGGTGATCCTGCGATTTCAAGTGGTGTCCCTCAAGCTCTGGTTGTGGGAGTGCATTAGCCAGCAGGAGGAGGGGTGAGCTTGCTGCAGGGGCAACAACAGGCGCTGCATCAACATGAATGCTGGCAGTCGCAGGAGGGATGGCCGTGGACGCAATCGAATCTAGCCCACCAGCAGCAGCACCAGCTGCAGCAGCAGCAGCTGTGGCGACAATAGAAGTGGCAGCAGCGGTCTCAACAGTCGCAATGCCAGCAGTATCACCAGCGGGTTTAGCTGCAGCAGGGAGAGCGCACACCACGCCAGTCTGCTTCACTCCACTGGCTTTCCTCCCGAGCCCATTCGCCTCTCCGCCCCCCACAGCCTCTTTTCTTGGCTTCTCCTCCCCAGAACCAGTAGCACAAGTCGTAATGGCCAATCGCCGCTCCCTCTGACCCGCTCTGGCGGGGTCTGCACGCGGAATCTTCCCCTTCCGACAGGGTCTTGCCGCCCGCTTGTTGTTGTTGCCTTTGCTGCTGCCTCCGGTACCGCCTCGGCGGTTGCTGCTGCTGCTGCTGCTGCTGCTGTCCCTGGCACGGTACCGGCAGCTTCGACTGGAGCTGTTGCACGGGCTGTGCAGGCACGGGTGCGCGGCTGTAGCTGCTACAGCCGATGGCGGGGTGCCCGGTGGGCTCACACCCGCATTCTGCTGCGGCTGCGGCTGCTGCTGCTGCTGCTGATGATGATGCTGATGCTGCTGGTGGTCATGCTTGGGGAGAGGGTGGTGCAGCCGGGGGAGGTGAGTGGGTCGCTGTGGAGCCTCTCGCTGAGGGGGAGTCTGCGGCAGCAGCTGCGCCTCTCGCTGCTGCTGCTTCTGCTGCTGTTGCCGACCTCCTTGCAGCTGTATTTGCTGCTGCTGCTGCTGCGCTTGCTTGCGCTGGGCAGCGGGCGGCAACGCTTCTCGCTGCGTTGAAATCCTTCGAGGCGCCAGAGGCGGAAGGCACGCCCACTGATTGGAAGAAGCAGCAGCAGCAACAGCGCCACCAGCAGCACCCGCGAAAGTACCGACACCAGCACCACCAGCACCACCAGCACCGCTGCTAGCAACGAGAATAGCGAGCGCTACGGCGTTCTTCTCTTCTAGTCCCCGCGCGCGCAGCAGCGCCGTCAGCACCTGCACCCGGCTCAGCAGCGACACGGGTACGGGCACCATGCTCTTGCCGGCGGGGCCGGCACCCCCGACGCCTCTCGTAGCAGCATTGCCGCTGGAACCATTACCCACGCGGATATTGGGCGAGCCGTTAGTGGGAGCGGTGGGGCGTAGTTCGAGATTTTTTACGGGCGCCGCTGTTGCATTGCACTGGCGAGTCGAGGACTCGGGAACGGGACGTGTTGAGAGAGCGGACGGAACTGCAGCTGTAACGGTGGTACTGGTAGCCGCATTACGAGGAAATGCAGCGTTGGGGGAAGCAGGCGGTGGAGAGCTTTTTGAAGCGGTGTGATTCGGCGGGAACCGAGCATTCATTCGAAGGCCCGAGCCGCGTGCGGCATTCACAGCAGGGCCGCGAGAACCAGGCGCAGCGAGGGGAGCGGCTCGACTCTGCGCCACGGCCTCCACCTGAGGCGCAGGGGGAGGGAGCGCGACAGGCGGCGGTAGTAGCTGCACCGGCACCGACTCGCCATCCCCTGCAACACCCCCGCGAGCTGCTACCTTGCTTCTCGGGCCGGCTTTACCGGCCGCATTCGACGGCGGCGTTTGCGCGTTGGCGCTACCACTTGCATTACTGGCAGTGGCCGCAACGGCGGCTGGAATATGAGGTGGCGGGGTGACGCAGCACCATTTCGCGGAATCTTTGCGATTTTCGCCCACATCACTATGGGTCGTCGCCGTCGTCACCTTCGCCATCACCGTCGCTGCCGTCGCAGTTTTCGTCGCTAGCGTCGCTTGAAGTCGTTGCTGGTTCAAGCTCAGTTGAGCAAGCACCATTTGCACCACCAGTGTCGCAGCGTCCATCCCGCTCTTCCCGGCCATTGCCGTACCCTCTCCGAGTCTGCCGCCTCGTGCCGTTCCCGATTTCGTCCCTTCTTTCAGCTTCACCTCCACTCCACCACCCATATTCGTTTCACCAGCCTGGTTGTCGGCTGTGCCGTTCGCCGCCACCGCGACTCCTTTGCGGTTAGGCTCGTCCCCTGGAGCAACGGCCGATGCGGTTGCTGCGCCTTGCGAGGCATTGATCTCCGCGCCCAGGTGACCTCGCGGTCCGGAGTTCAGTACGGAAGAACGCGGCGCGCCAGGAATCCCATAAAGAAAGGATGCCGAGGGGGGGACGGAGGCACGCGGGTGAGGGAAGTGGCAGTCACGGTCAGAAGCCGATCTTGATCTCTTAATAACCAGCGAGACGGTGGACGGTATATGGGTCTGTGTTGGCAACAGCGGCGCGGGCGGTGGCTTATGGAAAGGCGGTGAGGGCCAGTCGTCAGGTGCTGCCTTGATCGACGCGGCTTGGCGCAGCGAGTCAGCCCAGTCCCACTTGCGCTTCATGCCCGGAAGCGCCATGCGATGTACGCGTCAATTGGAGAGGCAGCAACAGTGGAATGGAATGCCGGGAGAGAATGAGTGGGAATGCGGTGTGGGTGTGGTGATTTGCCAGGGAGGAGAGTGATTATGTGAGGAAACCAGTGGCTGATGGTTTTCAGAGAGGGAATGTAGGATGATGCTACCAGAGAAGAGTTAAAGGCCGCTTCAAGGCCACGTTGAGATTTTCAGACAGACGAGATTCACGCTGCCATGGTTTCGTGAGTTAGTAGCATAAGAAGAGGCGAGAAATGGATGAGGGAGAATAATGGTGAAACGAGAGCGGATGTGTATCAATTGCACATTATCAGTGGTAGGATGGTTGAGTTGGGGGGTCCGAATTTGGGATGCGAGACGCGATTTGGGAGGTGCGCGCGGGATGGCGGGAATGAGGCGCGGAAAAGACGATGTGGGGGAAGTGCACAACAGTGCAAATTAGGGCACTTACGGGAATTTACATATGACGAAGTCGAAGTAGGGTCTAGTCTATAAAATAATCTCGTCTGAGGCGTACGGACTAAATCCTCAAATAATGAATTGTGCAAAATCATATGAGATTTGGTTGGGTCTTTGGCTACTCCTTGGCTTCATTGATTAGATGTCCACAAGGGTCTGAAGACAGATCAATAAATTCTGTAGTTATATGGTCTATCTTGTAACATACAATGCTTTCGAACAGCAGAGTGTTCATTTAAATAATAAGAAGTATCTAGTTCATGTTATGAAGAATAAGTCAATTTTAAATTTAAATTTGATTATACGCTGTAGTTTTCATATTTTTACCAGCAAAAGTAGTTATTACTGAATACAAGAGAAAACAAATAGCATATGTATACAATTTTGGGTTTGATTTTCTTCAGGTGAACCAAATTATTACCTAATCTGTCTCAACATTGTTTTATCTTTAATTTAAACAAAGTTTCTTGAACACTAGTACCTTTGTTAGTATAAAGTATATCTATAATTCTAAATATGCAAATTACATTTGACATGTAAGAGAAAAAACCCCATTAAAATATGGTTACAAAACATCTACTATGACTTTTAGAAAGGATCGAACTCGTTATGCTAGAACTAATGGTTGCAATATCCCTGTTTTTTTAGTACATACGGTTGCTCAATGAAGACGCGGCAAATGATAATGCTGAAAGCTGTTTAAATCCAGCTTTGGTAGCAAATTCTGATTTCTCCTACTTTTCAAGTGGGTTCACCACCGCGTTCCACGGGGCGCATGCCAATCTCCATTCGACAGTCAACTTTGCACCAGCTTCGCTAATCAATGGTCCAGATTCCAAGTTGTAAAGACTCCCGATAGGGCTAAGGTAATCTTAACTGTTCGTCCTGTGAGACGCGATCATCCAACGGCTGCGAATACCGAGATTTGAATAATTGCCATCGAAGAAGGCAACAGATCAGCGAAGACGGGTTGTTATTGACAACGGAACGCGCATCTCTGGGGGTGAAGGGCATTACTGATGACACTACACTACGTGTGCAATCTAACGGGTAAATGTCATTAATGTGTATTAGCATGTTAGCACATTGATGACACTATGTCAAGTGCGCATGTCAGAATCTGGGCCCAGAGCAAGTTGGGGAGGATATAACAACTTAAAAAAAAAAAGGCGTAATTCAAAACATTATTCCATTCTTTGTGGCCAGCACCAATGTGTGCAACATTATGCACCAGATTTTGACCATTCTTCCCTTACAAGCGGCCACTACATTTTGACAAACTTCAGCACGTGAGAATAAAAACTGACTAGTGCAAATGTTTTTTCTTCTTCAAAAATTACTTCCACTAGAGTTGTAATAGCACAAACACCAACAAACAGAGCCTCTACCAGCATCAAAACGTGCCTAAGGATCTAGTCGTGGTGTTATGGCAACAGCAACAGCTGAAGTAACTTACCTACTAAGTAAAGCAAAACAGTTGCTAGTAACAGGCGTCACAGTGTAAGTCTGAGGTTCAGCCCAAAACTACTATCTGGGTCGTCCTCTCCTGGCTCTTCCTTCCCTGCACGTGCATCAACAGGAGCATCTGCAGCAGCAGCAGCATTAGCAGGCAAGGGCTGAGCTGCAACAGGAGCGCGCACAGCTATTGCCTCGACGACGTCTCTGGTGACGAGAGCTCTTGAGGGGGCTATGGGCTGGGATGCCTGGCAAGGGGCCTGGGTGGTTTGTTGCTGCTGCTGTTGTTGCTGGAGCAGTAGCTGTTGCTGTTGGACTAGCAGTTGCTGCTGCTGCTGCTGCTGCTTCTGCTCTTGATGCTGGTATTGCTGCTGCTGTTGCAGGGCATGCATGAGAGCGGTGGTGGGGAGAGAAGGGATGTGCAGAGAGGGAGGAGGGGCTGTAGGAGGACGGGGTGGTGGGAGGGGAGCAGCTGGTGCGTGCATTGCCATGCCACGCAGTGAAGGACTCAGCAGGGAGAGTGACCGTTGAAGGGGTGGTTCTTTGCTGGGAGTGCGATTGGGCTGAGAGGCAAAGAGGGACTTGGGGTCCCACTCCACTTCCTCCCCGCCTTCTCCTTTCGTCTCCTCAGTCAGCTGCTGCTGCCGCACCTGCTGCTGTTGCTGTTGCTGCTGCTGCTGCTGCTGCCGCTGCTGTTGCTGGTGGAATTGCGCCTGCTGCTGCTGCTGTTGCTGCTGCTGCTGCTGCAATTGCATCTGCTGCTGCTGCAGCTGCTGCTGCTGTAGCCGCAGCAATTGCTGCTGCTCCTGAACCTGCATTCTCAAAGCAACCTCCCTCTCTCCCTCTCCCCGCTCCTCGCCCATTCCAGCTCCACTCCCTCTCAGCATCCCCCCACTCCGTGCCATTTCTAAGAGCGCACTGGGTGAACCCAGGCCTAGCAGTCGGGCTAAAACTGGCTCTGCTGCTGCAGCGGCTGCTGCTGCTCCCCCGCCTGATGCGGCTGCCACTGCTGCTGCAGCCGCAGCCATAGCAGCAGCCATCATAGCTGCCGCTCCCGTGTCGTGACCCGTCCCGCCTGCTCCACCAGCACCGGCACCAGCAGACGCAGCACCAGTAGGCCCTGCAGGGCCAGCAGTAGCGCCAGCAGTAGGGCCAGCAGCAGCAGCAGGAGGAGCGCCAGGCGTCATCCCTCCCAACTTCCCAAAACTCGCAACCCCGGTGCCACCTCCCACCTTCCCCTCTCCTGCTGCTCCTTCTCCCGCTGCTCCCACTGCTACTCCACGTGCCGTGTCACCAGCAGGGGGCAGGAGCGGCGGAGTGAGAGAGGTGGTCCCAGCCATGTGTGCAGAGGAGGCAGGCGCAGAGCCAGTATCACTAAAGGTATACCCCGAGAAATTCGACCGGCGTCTCTTGGTGTGAGCGGTCATGTGTCCGCCCAGGGCCTGCGCATTGTTGAACCTCATGCCACATTCCTTGCACTTGTACCCGTCCTCGCTGCACCACAGCTTTTGCCGGCTCCCCACACTCCCCCCTGCTGCAGCCCCTCCCGCGCTCGCCCCTGCTGCCATAGCAGCAGCAGCCGATCCGCCCTCCTCGGCAGCAGCAGCAGCATCAACAGAAGCATCGGCAGCAGCGGCGGCGGCAGTGGCAGCTGAGGTGATCTGAGTGCCTGTTCCTGCTGACGTGGTCTGCCTTCGCCGCGCAGCAGCACCGCCACTGCCACTGCCGCTGCCCCCCCCTGCAGTACCAGCAGGCATCGCTGCTGCAGCTGCAGCAGCCCCAGCAGCGGAAAAAGAGTGACTCCTCCTGAACGGCGCTCCTGCTGTTGCGTCGGCCACTGAAGTTGAAGCGGTGCCGAGAACAGGGGGAGTTCGAGTCCTGGCGATGGCGGCTGCTGTTGCAGCAGGGGGTGGTACTGCAACTGGTTGCCTCCTCGCCTGCTGCTGTTGCTGCTGTTGCTGTTGCTGTTGCTGTTGCTGTTGCTGTTGCTGGAGAGTGGCATGGGAAGGGGTTCCAGATAACACCACACCACCTTGCGCGTGCATGCCCCCAGACGCCACTGCTGCTGCCGCCGCTGCCGCCGCTGCCGCTGCTGCTGCTGCGGCTGGCGGAAGGGGAGGGGTTGGAGCCCCTGGGGAGACAATTGCGGGGAGGAAATTAGCAGGGGCGGGGGCAGCGGGGACAGAGACGGCAGCAGGGGCGGCAGGGGCGGCAGCGACGGCAGCAGCATGCGACGCGGCAATGAGGGAAGCCATGTGGTCGTTCCACCATGCAGGTAAGACAGCTCCTCCCCCCACACCACCTCCTCCAGGGAACGTTGCTTGCTGCTCCCTGGTAAACTGCTGCGGCGGCGGCGGCTGCTGCTGCTGCTGCTGCTGCTGCTGCTGCAGATACTGTTGCTGCTCCCTAGTGAACTGCAGAGACTGGAGCCCTGAGTTGCTGTTATGCGATGATACCTCTCTGCCTCTCGCCCGCACATCCCGCTCCGCCATCCCCTGCGCCGCCCACTGTTGCATCTCCTGCCCCACCTGCTGCCACTTCCCGCCCTCCCCCCCTGCCGCGGCAACCGCAGCGGCAGCCATGGCTGCAGCGGCGGCGAGAGTCGCCGCGAGCGCTTCCCGGTTCCCCGCGTCTCTCTCCGCGCCCGCGGGCGCGCCGCCATTGTCCGCCACGGACGCAATCACCCCGTCGCTCGGCCCCGTGGGGAACCTGCGCGGGCCCGTCCAGCTCGCGCCCGCGCCGAGCGCGCGCGCCAGGCTTTGCGCCGCCGAGTGCGCGGCAGAGGACGCGGTAGCGGCGGCTGGCGCGACGCTGGCGGGGGCCGCGCTCGAGGCAGTGGCGGCTGTGGCGGAAGCCGCAGCGGTCCATCCAGACCCCGGAACAAGGAAGGGACGGGACGCCGCAGATCCCATCGCCCCCGCTATTTGCGCCGCTGCCGCCGCGGTTGCCGCCGCATTTGCCGCGTGGTGCGGGTTTGCGCTGCTGAAGCTCATGTGCACGCGGTCCCTCTGCGTCAGATGGCCCGCCGGAGCGCGCGGAACGAGCATCATCGACGTGGGCGAGGTTCGGCCAGCCGCAGCTGCTGACGAGGCGGCCGCGCCAGCGGTGAGGGCGGCGGCACTCGCGGCGGCAGAAGCGGCGGTTGCTCCAGGCGTGCCGGAACCGGCGACTGTAGCAGAGGCAGAAGCGGAGGCAGCAGGGGCGGAGGCGGCAGATATGGCGATCGAACCGCGCTCCAGCTGTAGCTGAGACTCCAAGGACAGCGGCATCTGAGTCGTCATCATCTGTAGCCGCAGCGCGTGCTGAGCCGCTGCCGCGTCAGCAGCGCTTTGCTGGTCTCGCACGGACGCCGCCACGCCGTGGCTTCGGCGCGGCTTGCTGTTGATCGTGTCCGCGCGACGAAACGCGACGGCCTCCCCGATGTTCGCCCCAGACCTCCCCGAGCCGCCGCAGGCCAACAACCCCGGGCGGTCGTCGGCACAGCGCGGATCAGCCGCGCCGTTGTCGTCGCCCCCTTCCTCCGCCTTCCTCGCTTCCCCTTCCCCGCGGTCGCGGAACACGCGATCGAGCGGCGCGAATGGCAGCAGCTGCATCTCCCGCCCTTGCACCTCCTCCTCCCTCCCTTTCCCCGCGCCGCCCGTCCACGGAACCTGCGGCGGAGACAGCAAGGCGGACGCGCCTTTCCCCGCGGGCATCAAGAAGGAAAACGCGCGCGCGCCCGCTGACTCTGGCCGATCCGCGGTTCCCGCGGCTCCGCCGACAGCGCCGCTCCCGCCGGCGGGGGCGAGCGCGCCTTCGACGCTATCCCCACCGGCGGAGGCCCAGAGCGAGGAGGAGCCGCGGAACCGGCGGGCGTCTACACCCGCGGGGGGGGACAGGGCGCGGGTTCCGCGCGTGGGCGTCCCCAAATGCAGCGGATTCGTGTCCCCCGCGGAGCCAACACCAGCGCCAGGCCCGTAAGGGTATGGGGACAGGCCCAGAGGGTCCCCAAGCGGGGTTGACGCGGTTAGCGAGAGCTGCTGTGGCGACGGCAGCTGCGCGGGATGGCGCAGATCCGCGGAACGACTGTCGCTGGGTTCGTTCTTGAATGCCTGCAGGGCGGAGGGAGCCCCCGAGTTTCGGGCGCCGCGCGCGGTCGTTTTCTAGGCAGCTCCCCGTCTTCCCCATGCCACCGGGACATGATGCCTGCGGGTAGCGACGCTGGGGGGGGGAAGTGAACGTGCGGGATGATTCGATGCCCGAATAAGACTGCGCCGGACCCTTCGGGAGCGGGAGTCGCGACCGACTCGGAGTCCTCGCGCTTGCGGCGCGACGAGCCGCAGCGCGCGGCGCTGGCGGCGGCGGCGGAGTGAGTCGCCGTTTCGGTAGTCACCTCGCAAAAAAAACGGCTGATGCGTTGTCGCTGGCTGGTCTCGTTGCGCGACGTCAGCAACGGAGGCGCCGGAGGCGGCGGGCAATGCGGCCGCTCCAGCACTAAAAGATCGGGAACGATGTGGGCGTTGTTATGAGCAGATACTAGCCTTTGCGTGGGCTTGGCGGGAATAAGGAAAGAGGCGGAGGATTCGGGGGAAAAGGACCCCGCGGAGGCGGCGGAGGCCGCGGAGAGGGAACGGACAGGCGGAATTTCCCAGTGTTTGTTCGCGCGCGATGGTAGCAGCGTCGAGCGCCGATTTCCGGCGAGATGATCACTATACTTTGACGGATTACAATTGGCGTCCATAGAAACGCGCAGGCAGAGGTAGTTGCTGCAGCGGTAGCGGCGGCCGCGGAACCGGAATGGACCGTGGCAGCTTAAAGGTATCACTCGCTGTGCGAGTGCGCGTTGATTGATCCAGCGTGACTGCCGATGACTCGTCGAAGATCGAGTTGGTTGAAAAAACGTTTGTAGTAGAGGTAGCGCGTACTAGTAAACAGCACTTGAAGAGCGACAAGCCGAGCGAGAAAGTGACTGCTGAGGACTGAGGGTCTTAGCATCCGCAGGAGATTAACACTGAGCTGTGGTGGAAGAGGAAATGTACGACAACTGCCTGCGTTGGAAGCAGAACGGATTATAAAAGTATTGAGGCATGGAGTCTGGAGCACGTGCAGAGGAAGGACGACGATTGGACGAGACAGTCAGTCACGGTGAAGCTTGGTAGCGCGGCTGAGGGTTCATGTGCTCTGAACGATGGGCTCATGAGAGGACATTGGCATCGGTTAGAGGCTTGTGGAAGAGTGGGTAGTGGTGTCGTGACTCTTATAAACATGGCTCAAGATGGAATGGACTAAGCTTCCAGCCTTGCGTGAGTGTTCATCAGTCTGTTCAGTGCAGGACACGTAGCATCGCCAACTGGAAAGACTTACTGGGAACCTGTGTGGCGGAGTCTCGCTGTTTGTCCGCGATCAGCAAGAGCGGGATGAAAGAGAAAATGATTTTGTTTAGGGCCCTACCCCTCAAAGTGAGCAGCCTAGGCCAGCTCGAGGCGCTACCGCCAGAGTGTAGTCCTCCTCGCTCGGGCTGGAATCAGTTCATGCGGGTTTCTGGCCTATCGTGGCGGGTCTGCTCGACGGTGGTGGCTTGTCTTTATTTGGCTTGGCTAGCCTGGCATAAATGAGGGCATCGTCTGTATCGCCAGCTTGGAGAATCAAATCACTCCGATAGGCCAGCGAAGGGTTGATGTTTGGTTTGTGGTGTCCGCTGAGAAATTTAATCTAGCCCTTGTAAGAGGCCGTTTTATTACAAGTACAGTAAGTAGCTTTTTTTCCTAACTAGAATGGGATGCCTGGCTGGTTCTGCTGGTTCTAAACTCGCCCATCGACAGAGCTGATGCAAAAACAACATTCCTCGAGGTTAATAGTGAGATTTTTCGAGACGAGCTGGTCCCGAAATCTAGTGTTATGAGTGTAACAGGCCAGCGACAAGGCTGGAGCAGCCTCACGATTGTGCAATCATGATGACAACGGTAGTAAGGGTACCTGAACAATCCCACCAAACGCTGCCCGAGATACGCGGGCGGTGGTAAACAAATTTGCCTATGCAAAGCATACGTGTAGTGAACCATGTGTGTCCTTCCCAAACATCATACAATTCGGTGGTGAATTAACGACGTGTTGCGACCCACCCGGGTCGGGTCGGGTCGACCAGGTCGGGTAGACCCGATCCGACCCCACCCAACCAAAAGGCGACTTGAGAAAACAAAGAATTTCCCGTTGCCTTCTCTGCAAATTCGAAGTAAAGCGAAAGCAAGTGCTCCGCAGGTGGAAGGTGGGCGAGGCAATGTTTGGCGATATTACCGGGTATCTTTTTGTTAAACGAGATGCAAGCGACATCCGCGCGAGAACTACAAATTTCGCAGACTTGGGTAACCTGCTCCAGCTCGGTTGGGTTGGTTCTGGTCGGCCTGGTTGACATGACCTGGTCGACCCGGGTTGACCAGGTTCGACCCAACTAGGGTTGGGTTGGGTCGGATCGACCTGGTCGGGTAGGTCGGCAGTGCGGGCTTCCTAGAAATTCGGGATCGGGGGATGGTCGACCCGATCCGGGTGGGTCGCAACACGTCGTAAGTTCAATATACAAAACATGTGGAGGTGATTTGGGATAATGATTACTCCTTGCCCGTCACCAACTCATCGAATCACTCTCGACCACAGATATGTGCTGTACTGTACTGTAATTGAGTCACACACCAAGAGCCTGAGCCCAGTATGAACAGCCACAACAGCCAGCAGCATCAAGCAACCGATTCTCCAGCAGGGAGGAAGTTTGAGTGGACCCGAACTTCTTCAAAGCCTTGGACCATGTCCAGCGCTGTTGAAGATTCTCCTAAACATTCCAGGCTGTGACACGCCAGCTTCACTGCTTGGTTTGGGTCTGAGCGAAACGCGTTACTTGTGGGTACACCGTATCTCGGTTCGGTTGCCCGAAACCTTCATCAACTGGAATTCCGAATGGAGGGCGGAATTTAGTACACTACACTAAGCTACACTACTAAAAAATGGGCTGTCCATATAGTGGTGCCATGCTCCGCAGTTCCCAGGTTCCGCGTTGAATTTCACAGTTTCGCAAAATCCGCTCATCACGTGCTCCACATCAAATCCAACAACACCGGGAAAGGCACATGCTTGTCAAGGTAAACTTCCCCGATACACTGTACGGCTGAAGAAATTGTTATATTTACTCCGCAGGGATGTCAAAATCAACAATTTATGGAAAGATGGTGGTACATCGTAACTTCCTGCCCAGGTTTTGGGTCACATACAAAACCAATGCGGTAATGGCAGATACCCACGTGCGTGACTTATGCGAATACTTTTTCGGCTGGATATACCCATGGGACATTCATCATCACAAAATCGATGGCAGGGACTTCAGTGGTTTGCGTAGATCCCTTTCCGCTCTACATGAAGAGATGTAATGATTGTAGCAGTATTTCTGAGGTTGACAGACAGAGATGCTGTTCGAACCGAACCATATCGCTATGACCAGATTACAGTGTACACTCGCAAATTGAGCTTTTGATGCCAGAAGAATAGCGCGTCAAACGCGTGCAGAACGCGGCATCTAGGGACCGTAGGGGTGATCAAATCAAAGTGCAGCACCAGCTCGACGTCGAGGAATGTCGGTGAATGTCAACCCTCGGATCAAACTTTCAACCATCAGGATTCACCGAAGTCCGGGGTCTACAGCGCAAAATATAACTGATCTTGCAAGGACAACATTTTGATTTTGGAGTACATGTACCATTTCAATTATTAGCTCTTACCATTCACGTTGCATGCCATTCTAAGAATCTCAGCCAATAAACAATTGGGATAAGGTCTTGTGAAGTAGCGGCCATACTTGTTGGGCTGAGAAATAGCCCTTAGGATCTTTTGCAAGGGTGAATTCTGGGTAAGAACGATGTATTAGCGGAAGCGTTTTTAATGAAGAGATTGAACCACCTTGCGCGAGTAAGTGAGGGCAAAGTAGATTAATTAAAACAAAGAGATACAAGATTATATAGGAATACAAGGAATATGAAGAGGTGCAACTATAACTGTTTTTACTGTTTGCTGTTGCGGTTCGATACAGTGTCGACTCGGGCAACTGCTCTGTAGCGAGTCAGTTGTGTGTCCTTGCTGTCGCGCTGTGATGTCAGGTCAAAGGTCGCTGACCTTTGACTTTCGCGTAACCTCCGATAGTTACTTCAACCTCCGAGGGTTGACTCGCCGGTGCTTCGATATGCTTTGCTTCGCTTGTGACTTGGTGTTTCGACACGACAGAGGCGCTTAGAATTAATTGTTTCCAACACTCCCCTTCGCTTCTGGAGTGTCGCTGCAGGTGACGTGGCTCTGTCCAGTCAGCAGCATGCAGTACTCGAACTTCTGCTTTCCGAGCTTCTTGGTCAAATAGTCAGCTGCCATCTCGGACGTGGGGCAGTATGACAGCTCGAGTCTCCCCTTCTCGATCTCGTCCTTCACGAAGAAGTATCGCAGGGCGATGTGTTTCGTCCTGTTCGCGAAGCCGTTCTTGTTGGCGATGCGAATTGCCGACTGATTGTCGCAGAACAGGGTGAAGCTGGGTAACTGAGCTAGCTTCGCTTCTTCCAGCAGTTCGCGAAGGTAAAGTCCTTCCTTGGTGGCTGAGCAGAGTGCGATATATTCTGCTTCAGCTGAAGAGAGGGTGATTAACTCCTGCTTACTCGATTGCCAGGAGATAGGACCGATAGGCTCGAAGCGGTAGATGTAGCCGGTGCGCGAGCGCCTGTTGTCGGAGTCGCCGGCGTGATCGGCATCGACGTATCCGATCAGCTTAGGCGTTGAAGTTGCGTTCTTCTGGTAGGTCTGGCCGATCGTTGGAGTGCTCACGAGGTAGTGAAAAGCGCGGTCGAGCTCCGCCAGATGTTCCGCTTCAGGCTTCTTGAGGTAGGTGGCGAGCTGGCTTGCCGAATACGATAGGTCTGGGCGACAGGTAACAGCTGCGAAGAGGAGGCATCCCAGCTTCCTCTGGTAGTCGCGTATGCCGGCGGGCTTGAGTAGAGTAGAGCCTCCCTTGTTATTTCCTGTCGTGTAGCGGTACGGCGTGGAGATGGCGGTCGGCGTGAGAGCGAAGCGCTTGGCGATGGTGTCGGCGTATTTCGCGGCGCTAAGGTGGATGGCGTCTTCTTCTTCCCGGATGTTGAGGCCGAGGTACTGTGTGACGGTAGATGAGACCGTGAGCGTGAGATCCTTCCGTAGCTCAACCAGGTGGTGACTGAGGAGATTAACTCTACAACGGTGGGAGCTAGACTACAGGGTGGGCACTGGTTGTAGGAGTGATCATAGCTCTGTCTGTGTTCTCTAGGACTTGTGTTTTCACAGGGCAAAACAGCAAGAGTTTCACTAAGGAAAGTTGAGAATAACAGAGTTCAGAATGAGCATGACAATGGCAAAGATTGACTACATCACATGCAAGGTTTGCTAGTGCTCAGGCAGGTCGACTGCCAGCGTGACAGAGTTGTCGACCTGCCAACGTAGCAAGTCCGCGGTCCGCCAACGCAGCTCGTACGCGACTTGCCAACGCTGCAGATGGCGGCCTGCCAACGCTGCATTCGCGCGGCTTGCCAACACAGCATCCACGCGGCTTGCCAACATTGCATCCGCAGGTGATTGTAAGCACATGTGCAAGCACCTACTTCGCAGGTGCTTGTAGACAGTTATGCACGACGTGCACTGTCAAGTACATTGCGCAGGTTGTCAGCCACATGCTGATAGTTACACATG